CATAACAGACAAACTATACCCCACAAACCCCAGCTTCACCATTAATACGTAAAAGTGTTCCTGCAAATGTAATTTATTTAAGGATCTGATGTAGGTTGTTGCATTTTCACTGGGAGATTATAGCAAACTAGTTACACAAACAAATCCTCCAAATATGAACAGGTCTTAAGTCAGTGGTTAATGTCTAATGTGAAGTGGACAAAGATATTCCATACCTGAATTTGCATTTTGGAAAAACACACCAGTGGTCATAGATCTGATGCATAACTGAAGATACTAATAACTACTCAACTCATATTTAAATATAAGGACTTTTTTTTGCTCCTATGCTTGTCAGTTTTCAGAACTTCAAGAATTGTTTCCTTATTATATAACTGCATAAGCTGCTTATGTGAGAAAGCACCTTGTTTCCCACATGAACTACAGTCTGGGAAATCACTTACATGTGCAATCTGCTCTATAGCTGATTACTTCATTACTTCAAACTTTCCTTCATCAAGCAAAATAATTCTCAGCTGTTGCAGTTTTTGTTATCTCCTGACTGTGAAAATGATACACTGTCAGAGATTTAGTTAAGGTTCATGAAAGACTGGTAATTGCTCTTATTTCTATTTTAAATACTAATTCTAGCTAAATCTAATTTAAAATAAATCCTAAATAAACCATCATAAAAGCAAAAAATTTTAAAAAATATCCTTTATACACATCTTGCTTCACTAAACTAGTGCAAGTTTACAAATAGACAACATCACTGCAATTTAAGAACACTCTGAAATCAGTTTGGCTAATCAAGATTAAGATGCTATCTTGCCATAGAAAGCTTAGAAAATATAGCTTGCTAGAAAGAAGCTGGACCAGCCAGAACAGATAGGTGTACCGGGAACAGAAGGACATAAATGAAGACAGCTACAGAGACTTAACTGGAGAGAGGTTTGGGTTTGTTTTAAATAACCACACTGCTGTTCAAGTACTCAGCATTGAAAGCTGATGAAAATCTGTGCAGATTATTAAAAAAAGGAGTTTATAATGTTATCTCCCCCACAATCTCCATTTCTACACAAATAGTTGCAATTCAATATTAATAAGGTAGCAAGCTGAGTTTTCTGAACGCTGAACCAGTCTTTAGAGAAAAGTTTCTAGTAACATGAACCTTTTTCATGAAGTTATTCAAGGGAAGGCATTGAGAGATGAAGCAGCATAAGGCACAGCATTTCTGTTGTAGGAAGTCAGAGTTCAGCATGACTCATCATTAACCAGAAAGCACAGCATCCACCTTCTGGACCCAACAGGCTCTCAAACTGGGAAACCCATACACCAGCTGGTCTGGGCTGCAGGTGCTCCTTCTCAGGCAGGGAAGTACTGCTCAGGCTGCGGATGCTTTCTGAACCAAATACCTCCCCGCACAGCTACACAGAATGCTAAGTGAGAGAGATGGCAAACCTGCAAATATCACCCCTCCTCCTCTTGTGCCCAGCCCTATCACAGTTCTTTCCATGATGAAAGCATAAGTACAAATTAATCCCTCATTTTTCAGTTAAATCCTTCAGATTTTTAAATTAAGCAAGTTCCAAGACATTTAGCAACAAAATTGAAAGAACTATTCAGACTTGTATTTTCGCCCTTTACATACAGGTATTTCTTGAGCATGTTGTATCAAAAATAAAGATTCACAACATTCTCATTTCTGCACAGTGTTGAGAATATTTTTAATTTTCTGAGTTTTGGTATCACAGAGAACTTGTGTTTAATACAAGCTACCTTATTACACAGAAAAAAAATAAACCATCATTACAGTGTTAAAATACAGCAAATTGAGGTGTTTGCAGTTTGTGAATGAGACATTTAGTATCACTAATACAAGCTTATTCCTGAAGGAAAAAACCCCCACCTATTAGTGTAGTCTTCAAAATAGTTAACACTGGCTTTAGAGAGAACTATTTTGAATTCATTTTTATAATAAAAAACTTAAGTCTATCTTTTAAGACCTTAACTACCTGTTAAGAAGATACAATTTTGATGCTCATCAAAACTTAACTGTTTGTAAGCTACATTCATCATGTCCTCAGACACTCATCCATCCAGTTTTATGCACCCAAAACCGTTAGTACCAGCAAAGGCTGGGTTATTAGGCCTGGCTACATAGCATCTTTACACACTTGAAACAAGCAGAAATGGTACAAATTGCAGACTGCGGCACCTGACAATGCTGTACTAATCCTATCAGAGTTCCCATTTTCACCAAAAATGGATTAAACACTCTTAAAAGTCTTCACTTTGCACCTTCTCTAAGATTCAGACATATTCTCCTTTACACTGTTAATGAAAATACAAGTGCTCAAAAGGTCTTCACTCCCTAGTCAGCTACATTAACAAAACTATGTTCCCCATTATTTTAGTCTGCATTTAAACACACCAGGCGTTACCTCGCCTCACTAGGAGAAAAGGGGAAAGTGGCCACTGTTCAACTGCAGGTGTTGAAATAGCCTAGAATCCAATTTGTCTCTAGAATCCTGGAGACAAATGAAGTCTCAACACACTCTTATAAAGTGCAGAAATTAAAGACTCAGCAAATTTCTGTACTGTGTCTGAACAATGAATTAGAAAAGTTTCCATGTGATCCATTTTTACTACGACACAATACCTTCAAACAGGTTCAGACATTTAAATCACACTGAAGTTATTGCCATTGCAAAAAACAGGTATGAGGCAACTGACATACTTTAGTAGTTGCCTACAAATTCAGGAAGGACTATTTTGTCAAAGGACTATTTGACATTTTTGAGGCAAGTTCTTTCAAGTTTCTCTATTGCCTGACAAGACAGGTTAGGTTCTATCATCTCAATAACCCTGTTAACAGTGAGGATGGTGGGGAAGTATGAATAACTAATGACTTGGGTGTAGGGGACAAGACGACATGACATCAGCTTAAACTCTAGGATACTCAGTATACAGTAAACTACAAAACCATTTCAAGGACATTTCTCGGTAGTCTGTTACATATAGGGAAGTTTATAATTGGAATGACTTACACAAAACCTCCCTTATTTCACTAAGATTAATTTTAAAAACACTTACTGCTTTTTAATTTGTAGAACAGCACACCTGTGGCTTCTAAAGTGACACTGACTAATCATCCTTTAGTTTAGAAGACTAAGGCATTCTTCAGCGAAATGCTATCCAGAAGTTATCTTACTTAGTGGTCCCTCGTAACTTGGCTCTTTGAGACTGCAGACTTGCATTAAGGATGATTGTGATCCATGAACTTTAGTAAACATGGATCAGTTAACCTAGAGAGGAATGGAAATGTCTTGAAATCATTTAAGCATGCATGAATAAGTAGAGTGGAAGAACAGAAGGTAATAAAGTTAAGGAGTCATCAATACCTAAGATTAAGACAAATTAAGTCATTAAAGCGTCTCCTCCCCTCTTCTGTACAACACCTGACAGTGAAATCAAACTCACCTATTTTGCTGCCTTCATCACTTTGTGCCTGCAGGCTAAAAATGCATTCCCAGTAAGAGTTCTTTAAATAAAATGCAAACCCTTTAAATGAAAATTTAAATTTATTTTGAATTTTTAAAATGTCATTTCTATCAATTTAGACACACTGTTTGACATTATCAGATCAGAGAATGTACAGTGACTCATGGATAAAGATTTGTCTTTTACATTCAAATGTTAAGTACTTCAGAATAGCTTTGTCTTGTTATTTCCAAACCAGAAACACTAAAGAGCATTTTATTTTGCCTTTCAACCATCTTTGTTAATCAACAGATTTTTGATATCTGCTGTACTTGGAGGGGAACATGCACAACACCAAAGGAATTACTTTTTTTGAGTTAAGTGAGTACCTTAATTACAGTTCCAGGTTTAAGACTAATTAATTGTAGCATCAAAAGGCAATGCTAAGTAGAAAGACATGATTTTTTAAAAAAATGTATTTTCCTCAGGTAGACTAGAGCCTGACCTACTTGGAAAGCCTCTTTATGAAGATAGCAAGGTCTTGCTATCCAGTGTTAACATCAAAGTTTAGCAAGTTTTGTCCAGTTTTCATAATTATTTTGGAAACAGTATTACAGCATTCCATTGCTATGCAAACACTGTCCTTGTATTAGTGGTTAACAATGAAATTCAATTATTCTATCAGACTTAAAAATTTTATTGCTTACTATAGTTAGTGCTAGAGAGTAGGAAAATAAACTTGCACCTCAGAAAACATTTGCACAGAAGAGATTTGATCAATTTGCCCATTCTGGCAAGGAAGTGCTCGAGTGTGTACAACATAATTAACTGTTCCAAAGTGAATGTCGGACCACCTCCCTCCAAGGACAGCTTCCCACCATGCATCTCTGAAGTTCAGAACCCCTCTAATTTGTAAAAACAATGCAAGCTCCAAAGCCCTGGAAAAAAGCGTATAAATTTTAGAGTACAACTTTTATGATACACTGACCTGGGCAATCTCATAGTAAAGTACTCAGTTAAGATTCCTTTATATACACCGTAGTGTAAGAGGCTGCTACTGCCTTCAGTCAGCACATCATGGAAGATCTGGGACCACAGCAACAACTTTGTGCTAAAGCATTTGGAGTATTAACAAACCTTTTGGGGAGGCAGAGATTTCTGTAAGAGGAAAATACTTCTCAACTCTCGTGTAATACATTTTCTCCCCCACCCTTATTTTCACTGTCTGATGGAACATCATGAACAGTGTGCCAGGAATGCTCTATTGCCTGATTCCAGAAGTCTGCTGCCTTTCAGGAATCACAGGCACATTCCCTGCTCAGGAACACACAGCAGGAAAACTGTGAGAGGTCTGTTATATGACACTTTTAGAAGCCCTATAAGAAACATGTATGCAATCTTAATCTTCCCTGTTTGTAAAGTCTGTTAACCTAGTTAATCCACAGGTATGATGATATGTATCTCAACACCCAAAGAAACAAGTGTATACATAAGCCTTTAAAGTATATAGAAAACTCAGTTCTGTCCTCTGATGCTGTTTTCAAGTTTGTTTTATTCACTCTTTTGGATGACTATAAATGTTTCCACTATGGAAAAGAAAGTTAGCACAGTACATTTTCATGACTGGGAATGGATTTTCTGAAGACATCTTCAAAAGGGCAAAAGCTTAGAAAAAACAACCTCAATGTTGAATTCAGTTCCTTATAAAGTCCCTTGTAAAAAATAAAAAAAAGAAAAAGAAAGAAAGAAAAAGAATAAAGGAAAAACTGCAAGGCCCAGGATGATTTATTGCTTTTCTTCAGTTTTTTCCTTGGTCTCTTTCTTCTCGGACTCTTTGCTCTCTTCCTTTACAGAAAGCTCTTCTAGTTTTTCAGCAACTTTATCAGCACTATCATTTTTGTCTGTGCCTGCTAAGAGATCGATTAGGAATAAAGTTACACACAGACAGTGATGGATTTTCCTGTTACAGGGGAAGGAGTAGAGAGGTGGAGTGTGAAGGGGGCAAGGAGAGACAGCTGGTATTTAGAATAAGAACAAAAGTAAATAAATTCTCCACTGAGCACTTGAGTGATTCATTCCATTTCTTTTCCTTTGGCAATTACCTCAGATGTCAGAATTCAAGAAATACCACTTGCATATTTTAATCACTAAATGAGGGTCTAATCATAGCAACTGAGAAACATAACATTTGGTCAGCTTTGCTGGTACCAGTAACAGACTCCATACAGTTTCCAGTCAAGTAAATGTCTCAAGTCCCTAGCTTCTTCCCTATCTTAACAAAAAAAACCCCAAGTCAAGTTCCCAGGTTTGAAACTGGGGAATAGGAAGTTCAAGACTGAAAAATTCAGATCTAAATATCTTGAAGAGCATTGACTGCAGACCACTAGTAATCTGTACTTTAGAAAGATGGAAGTGTTTATTTTACACAGTGGGGTATCTTGTCACACAGGCAATTCTACAAGGCAGTGCATTAATCTACTAAATAAAGTGAGACTTGTGAAGAAATGCTACAACTTCATACACATTAATATTAATAACTGTAAAAACTAAGAATTCCAATTGCATGATTATGTATTTGCGGAATTTGGGAAGAAGAACTGGAAAGGGGAAATATCACTGTGGCTGCAGTGTTCACAGTTCATATGTTTACTATAAACCAGAATGGCTTCTCTAGTAGCCTCTCAAAGAAGCAATGTCCCATCAGCAATTGTAACAGCCTTCTACAAGAAAGAAGGCAGTTGTCACTCCTGTGAACTATTACTCTTGCAGACACAAAAAGTACCTGAACTGAAGAGTGCAGTTCAGGACAGAGTGAGTCTGCTAAAAGACAATGATACTCCAGGGGGGCTATAAAAACAGCTAGAAAAAGTGGCATGGTACTACATTCAAGACTTTTAACCTTACCTTTCTTTGCTCTCTTGTCTACTTCATTCCTGCATTCTTCAAATTTTGCCTTGAATTTCTGTGCATCTGTTTCAGTAAATATAGAATATTTTTTCATTAGGTTTACTTACTTGCAACACTGAGTACTTCCAATCTTGAGGAAGGATACCTGAGAAGTTTTGCTTGAACAAAACTCGTAAGCACTTACAAAGTAATCTAGTTTAAAATCATCCAAGACGCTATGCAAAATGCTTGAATCACATCTTTGTACAGAAGCAGTTTATTTTCTTTAGCAAGTCTATTAAAGCAGCTTATTTTGCAAAATATTTAAAACAACGCCAGAAGCAGCTGTTCTATAGTTATTACAACTCCCAGCTGTCCCTAGACTAGAGGAATGACAATATGATGTCAGAGACTGCTAATATGACTGTGTGCACAAGACTGAAGATTAGCTTTACACTACTGTCTTTGTCAGCTACATTATACCTTAAGAGACCGTCACATCCTTGCCATAACTTAGGGTTTTTAGCATCAAGAATGGAAGATAAAGCCTGTTTCATTAGCACGGCATTCAGATTCAATATGCAAAGGCCTGGACTCCTCCTATTCCTGACTATGACAGCTAAAGAAGCATTATGATTGGTCTAAGCCACCACTTGACTTAACAGTCATTCCAAGCGGTTGATCAAGTTACAATAATGTTTCTACACAAGTAATACAAGCAACAAGACCCAGAAGCAGATCAGGCAAGGTACTTCCTAACACCAGAACTATACAGGTAATTTGGTATGCCAACTTGGTCTGACTGACCACACGAGGTCACTGTTGTCCCACAGGAATTCAGCAGCCACTCAAACTAGTTCAGGAAGTATTTGTATCGATTCCTTTTCAAGCATCTCAGAAGGAAAAGATACTTGAAGGGCATACTAATGTCTGTTCACCTGTCATCTGCTTAGTCAGTACTGCAAGGGCTACGCAGGCAAAGAGGACTACTACACCCTCAAGACAAAACACTCAATAGGCTGAACAACCTCTACCAGAAAGAGGGAAAGACTTTTCAAAGAGTAATTAGTTACCAAAACCCTTTAATTTCATATTTCATTAAGAAAGCAGCAAGCACTAAGCAGGTGGATCAGAAAGGTTTTTCCTCTTTCACATTTTGCTTTTTTCTTCAAGAAAAATGCACTACTTTGATTCAATCCTAAGGAGCTGGGGAATTCGGCCCTACTAGCTGATCCATATGAAATTACAGAACTACTTTCTGTTGTGGTAGTCAATGTAGTCACTCCAGAAAAACCCACCAACTAGTATGATAGTTGGGCTTGACCAGCACTTTTCACTGAGTGTTCCATTTAATCAAAATAAAGAAGATACTACATACTCCATTAAAAAAAAAAATAAAAAATCCCATGTTCTGCTAACACAGATGGGACCAGAAATCTCAGGTTGGTATTTCTTTACTTCTAATCCAAACATCTAATGTTAACTACAGCTGAGCACCTGGGATAAATGAAAGCAAGCTGCATGTATTAATCTGTACCCCTTAGTATTACTGCTTTTAGTTTTAACTGCCATTACATTTGCATGAAATGGCTTAAGTTAAAAAAAGTGCTTAGAGAGGGAAGCTCCATAAATATTACTGGAGATGTAATTATTACAGTTTGTCAACACATGCTTAAGTGATTAAGTGACTTCTCTCAGTTAAAGCAGTAACTAGCTAACACTAGCACGCAGTGGTGAGATACAGCATATTTACAGCAGTATTTAGACATGCAGTGTAACATCACAGTATACAATCAACATAAGTTCAGTGCCAGTCCACTCACTTTCTGCATTTAAAAATCGGATTGCCAGAAGTTCAGGCTTGGGGCTTTCATCTGCAAAGTCAGCGTGTGTGTTCCAGACCCATGCCCTGTCACTCCCAGCATTAGGCTTCAGCTCCATTAAGGGTGTGACTGAAAAGAAAGCATTAAAAGATGTACACAGCACAATAGTAAATGCATTCGACACCAGCCTCCATAAATCTTATTAACAACTGACTGCAATGCTTATGTAAACCACTTTATACAGAATTACTTTGGATAAATAGAAGATAATGGTGCCCATATATATTTTTCTTTACGTCCTCAAATAAAATGATCCAAGACCACTACTGTGTAAAAGAATGCTGAGTGACTGCAGAAGTTGGAAAGTTACTTCTCATACTACTCTAAGACTTTCTACATTACACACATGCAAACTTTAAGTAAGGCTTTTTTTTTTTCCCCCTGACCCCTAGGTCCTTTGTTTAGTTTGGGAGAAATCTGAAGAGCCTACTCACTTTCTTGCTTTTTTAAAATTTTTGAGATAAATTACATTTTGTTTCATTTAATGTTTTGCAAAAATAGAGAGTCCTTTTGTCTGCCTGTGAGTCAGCATAAGCTCAATAAAGAAATTATACTGAAAGCAGTTTTTCTAGGAAAAAACTTTTGACAGGAACACTATAAAATTATCAATTCTGTTTTGCATATGTGGAACATTTATTTTCCTAAACAAAAGGTTTATTCTCATTGGTTGGTGACTACTCTGCTTTCACATTTGCCATTTCATTTCCTAAGCAGAACACCTGCATCCCCTGAATAGTCTGACTTTCTGAAGAGATCTACCCAAAGGAAACAAGCAGCATTGCTTCTGACTTCAGATTTGTATTAAGCTACTTCAAACAAGTTATTTCAAGTAATCTAAATGTAGTTTAACTCCACAGAATACTCTATACTCTTCATACAAAAACTGGGTATTACCACAGCAAGTAACAAAGTATTACCAAATTAGTCTACTTGTTGCTAGTCATATTGACTTTCAAGTCTGTCTTGCCCTTTCATGTTTATTTTCATTGAGGATCAAAGAAACAAACCTCTCCTGCTCCATCAGCTCTGGATACACATTCTTTTTGAATAAGTTAACTGAACATACCATGTTCATTTCAGTTTATTTCACAAGCAGAGAAAGGCAGCCACAGATTAGTTTAGCACCTCTGTGTTTTCTGGTGGTTGAGCAACTGCTTCTACCAATTCAGACATTCAGCTCAAAGTAGTAAATTATTACGATTGCTTATTTCTCATTTTTTTATGAAAACAAGCCAGCATAAATTAATTTCTTATACTAAACAGTATTAAAACCTACATTTTCTATACTCGCTAATCATTAAACACCCCTCACACACACACACGTTGGGAGCAATCACGTAATGTCTGTCTATCCCAGCTAAATTTTGAAGTGTCTTTAGAAGACTATCAGTCTATCTAAACCCAAAACAAACAGACAAAAACAACAAAGAAAATAAAAAACAACTTTAAGACTCAACTTTGCAGGCAATCACCAAAACCAACTACAGCTTCTTTCCATTAATAAAAATAAGCAGTCATGTTTTTGATGCTTGTAGCCTTGTGTGCAGAGCAAGAGACAACTACATTTACAGTCTAATACAAGTTTGATTCCTGTTTAAAGACATATAGCAATTTTCTAGCTGCTACTAAAGAGCCACTGAGCTCTTAATCTACAATGTACAACTCTACAAGCTTATTTTTTAAAAACAAAAATAATAAGAATAGCAATGCATAACATACTATAATGGTTTGCACAAATTTTCAGGGTTTTATCCCTCCTCATGAGGAGGCGAATTGTTCCCTTCTCCTTGTGTTTCAGGAGCTTTACATCACCAGTTCCTCGTTCTTTCCATTCTGGAAGGTCGTTCTCAGATGCAAATCGAAACAGTTTTGCTCGCCTTAAAGAAGAGAGAGTTTAAGAAGTTAGCCTGCACGTAGAAACATTTATGGAAAGAGCATAGTCAACAGAACACTATAGCTGGTTTTTTTACAAGCCACACACAAGAAAGAAAACAATTCTTCTTGTAGGGTTCCCTGTTCTACTTCAGCATATAAATTTAGAAACTGATAAATTCACATTTAATAACAAACTATTAGGAATTATGTAACAGCTATACTAAAAATTCAACAAGCTCTGGACACACTTTTGGGGAATAATGAACATATTTTGTGCAGGCAACCTTTTAAATTAAGGTAGATAATTAACAGGTTTTGACATAGCTAGAGTTCTTATGCATATTATGAATGCAACTGCTACATTTAACTGCAGTATTAGTGTAAGAAACTGAGCAGTTTGAGGCTAAAGTCTTGTATAATTCCAAGCCCAATGTCTGATCAACCGTTAACAAAGTGCCTCACCCTGTGGAGTCACACATTTCCTTTTAACTCTAAAAACCTAGCTGTTGCTATTCTGGTATCAGGAATAAAGGAAGCTTAGTGCTGCACTGCAGTGCAACATACCTGCTTCAGAACATCACTGTTTAATCTTCCAGGATGCCAGTGTGCCAAAAGAAAAACAGGAGCAGTTTGGGACATTAGTTAAAACTGACCCAAGAGACAGCCTGAGCTCTGCTAGTGAGGAGTTCAAGACACTGCTATAGGAAAGGAAGCACCTGCTCACACTAGAGGATATATTAAAAAATATACTTTTATAGTTCTATAAAAGAGCAAGGGATAGGACTTGTAATAGGCCAGTTCCTTCAAGAGAGGGTGGCAGATGTTGGAGCAAGCTACTCTAACAGATGCTCTGATGCAGATGAACTACTTTGGTCCAAAGCAAGTCCCTCCTAAGTCTATCTGGCATTCAGTAGGTGACTCCGCTAAGTTTAGCTATTGGAGCAACCAGCATTCAAAAAAAAGATTCCTTTTCTCCTTTACCCTTTTGTAGACATAAAAATGAACATACAGAGCACTGGAACTTATGTTATTATTTCTCCCCCCCCCCCTTTTTTAAATAAAAAATATTCTTCTGACACTGAACATCCCATGTGCACAGAGGCCTAATGGTCAGATCTCATCACGCTACTTGTCAGAAACTGAACACTGCTTTAGTTTTTACCAGAATCTGTATAAGGAGAACTCAAATCTCTCATCTAGGCGAACAGCACCCTTCTGTGATTAAGTAAAAGCAGCATTTTTAAAAACTATTTAAAGCAACCACATCACTGATCAAATTCAGAATACTTCTTAAACCTTTAGCTTGCATGTTTCTTCAGGCAGATCACACATCTTAAACAAGCTATCCCAATTTGACAATAAATTCAATCTAAGGATAAAACCATGTTTAAGGAAGCAGAAAGGTACTGCCACAAATGCCCCAATATTGTACTGTACCTACTGCTTTTATTGTTTCAATATATCATCCATCATCCTTTACAACTGGGAATGCATGGCAGCAACACTACATATATCTCACTTTTCCCCCCTAAATATTTGTTTCAGACCATGGTCACACAATTTCAAACCTCTAATTATCCAAGTTAATGTTTTCTTTTAGGCTAAACAATACTAAAGCCAGGTTTGTAATATCACCTCCTTCCTATTGGTCCAAACTTCAGAGTTTCCTGGGGTGTTATTATCAACCACCCCCCCATTCAGTCTCTGCCACCACGGTAAATACCAACCTACTTAGATTACCGCTTCATGTACAGAGACTCCTAACAAGTTAACTTAGCTTTTTATAAACACATTCAAGTTTAAGCCTAATAAAATATTCAGATAATAAATATTCTGCTTACATCTTAAAGAGTTCTTCCTCATCCTCTTCCAGAGTTTTTATTTCTTGCTCAGGAAGGGAAACTATGGGCTCGAACTGAGGATCATGGTTAGAATCATCTGTATTTTCAGTAGAAGTATCGTGCTCCTCATGTGTTTCCTGGAAAGAGAAAAAAAAATTTAAAAAAGAAAAACCACAAAACTTGCTACGTACTTAATATCTGGAGTACTCATATATGTGTTTAAAATGAAAACATTTATGACTATTCAGCAATTAGATCTTAGAAACTGAAATACCCAGTAACAATAAAGAAAAATTATTATAGCTGAAAACAAATGGCTTTAGAGTCAACATAGTTATACAAAGAAGAAAAAAAAAATGTTCTTGCAGTGCTAGATGTATTACCCCTACCACTCATTAATTGTGCAGAGGCGTGGCCTTGGAGCAATGGCTCTTGGTTATAGAAAAATAATTTCTTCAACTACTTTTCCTATGTAATGTGTTTTATGCTACCAAAGTGCTACTATTTCTTAGTGGTTAATGACCTATCATTACAGGAGAAAAAAGAAAAAAACCCACAACATTAAAGCGACCACCTAACCCAGCTTAAGAAACATATTACATCCAGAAGTTCATTATTCTAGTCTGATGTACTAAAATCACCCCCAACCTAAGGTATTTTTGAAACACTCATGAAATAATTTTTTTGCTTTAAGACTCCTTGGGGAAGTTTAGGTTTTGGGTAAATGGCTAAAACACTACTTCCTATTTAGTTATTTAGGAATCTGCCAAAGCATTAAGTAAGCTTAAGAACTGTTTTTAGCATGTGACTAGTAGGTAAGTGATAAACATCTCTAATACTTCATACACATGCACTGCTAAGAAGTGTTCAGTAGAGAAGCCCAGAAAGGAGATTCATCTGCAAGTTTAATGAGGCCACAAACATCTATCTCTGGTCAAGGGACCCGATTTGGGTCTTTTTGTTGCTGTTTGAATAACAGAGAAAGGAAAACCAATATACACATCGAAGACACTTAAATCTTATTTTCACTTTACAGAGGAAAGAGTCCGCTCTTAGAGGTTCCATTTAGAATATCCCTTACAGAGCAGGTCCAGGCTACACATGTGTAAAGCAACTGAAATGAAGCAGTCTATTTTCACTAAATAGTAAAAAAAGGGAAAAGGGACAAGGTGGAATTAGGTTTTGCAAAACAAATTCTGGTTACATCAACAAAATCGCAGCAGCTGTTGTTAAAACTAGCTTTATGTCCCCAGTGCTCCTGTACGTAAGAAAGCAGCGAGAAAGGCAACAAGTCACATGTTTTCAAGAATCAGGAGCAGAAACAAGGGCCAAACTTTTATATATCGTTTCCTCCAGCAGTAAGTAGCACAACCCATATCGTAATTCATCACCCGTTCTGTGCCTCACTAATTAATTACAGAATCCATGAGAAACCCATAATTCACAACAGCCACATATGAGAGAAAGCAGATCCCGTTATCACGATAACATCCCTCCACGCCGCGATATAAAGCACGTGGGGCTGCTCCTCCGGCCGGGCCGCGGCACGAAGGGTCC